AAAAAAAAAAAAGTAAAAAAAAGAAACGAATAAAGCCGCTTTCAAACCCCGCGCAAGTAAGTAAGTGTGTGCGTGTGTGTGTGTGTGTGTGTGTGAGAGAGAGTGAGAGAGTGAGAGAGTGAGAGAGAGAGAGATACAGAGAGAGAGACAGAGAGAGAGACAGAGAGAGAGAGAGAGAGAGAGAGAGAGAGAGAGAGAGAGAGAGAGAGAGAGACGGGCACTTCCGTTACCTTGCTTCTTAGTCTTTCTGCTGGGCAGATGGTTAATGGAAGACCCAAAATTTGGGGCTTTTCGCCGCATCAACACAAGCAATGTCGTTGAAAATTTTGCGAGCGAACATTGCAGGATCAATAAACAGAAAAGAAAAAAACAATTTAAAAAAGGCAAAAAAAAACGAAAAGAAAAAAGAAAAGAGTCAAAAGCACTATAAATTTAGAATAAATACTATAAAACCCTCTTCGGAGTAGCTTACGGACTGCTGATGCGGTGTCCCATGGACGCACGCCCTCGAACGACGAGAGAGCACAAGACAGGCACATGTAGTATTCCTTTGCTTCTCAGCAGTACTGCTATCGTACCAGCGAAGTACGTCGGGTAGCCTGAGAGTACTTTTTTTTTGTTTAAGGGTGAACCAGCCCCAGGTAATCCAGAATGATTTTAGAGCGGTCATGTGATTGTATCTGGACTCGAACTTGGGTCCGATTCATATTTCAACAGAGTTCATGGGTGTGCCAGCTGAGCTATGTGCCACAGTTTGTGGATTCGGTCCTGTGTAACCGGGATGGACCAATCCAATGCTTCTGACCAGTGTTTATCAGCTACCAAAACTGGCTTTTGCTTGTTTATCTTAGATCTTAGGAATGCGACCAACCGTCTGGCTGAAAAAAAAAAAAAAAAAAAAAAAAAATCCAACCAACCGTCTGCCTGGAGACTGGCCGCCACAACATCCTGGACTTTTCAACAAAAAAAAAAGAAGAAGAAGAAGAAGAAGAGAGAGGAATGCAACCGCCACCCCGGGAACTTTATAGTACTTCAAAGTTTATACTGCTCCAACGCGGGATGAACTGTGGGTTTCTTCCGGCGGCTTTCCAAGCCCTACAGCCATGGGTGAAGGGTACCTTTTTTTTTTTTTCCCCCCCCGAAAGGGTGACAGCCTTATGAGATCATCTTTGCACTGACCATCCCCAGCTTAATTCAGAGTTATTTTCACTTGTCCTCCGATTGTATTGGAACTCGAACTCAGGTCTGCTTTTCTGCAACTTGGTAGGTGTACCAACTGAGTTGGGCCAGTCAGTCAGGACTCAGTAGTGAAGGGTAGTAGCCTAGTAGGGT